TTTTATAGAAGAGGGGGCAAACGAGCATGTGGCTCACCTGATGTTAAGTGACTACCGCCGCCCATGATCAACCGCAACACCAGGGGAATTGCAGGTGCGTTGCCGGCCCTTTAGAAAGGAGTAAACTCTTTTCTTGAAGGTCCCCAGGTCGTATCGGTCCGGAAAAATCGCCGGTGGTAAACTATTCCACACAGAAGTTGTACGCGGAAGAAAACTCCTTTTGAAACGTACAGTGGTGGACCGCCAAGCATCCATATGGTGTGGATGGTATCGGGACGTTTGCCGCGTAGTGCGTTCACGAAATTTGGCGGTAGGGATTAATCCGAACCATTCTCAGCTGACCGACCACGGCGAAAACCGTATTGGTGGTCACTAATCAGTTGGTGATCCTCAAGGTACTTCATGAGCTAGCAGTTTACAATGGACTCCATTGTTTTGGAGAACAAGGAGGTGATGGCGATAGGCCGGTAGTTGGACGGGTCTGAACGGTCGCCTTTTTTAGGGATCGGGGGGACGAATGTCGTCTTCCATGATTTTGGGACTACGCCTAGGGAGTAGGGGTACCGGAAAAGACGCGTTAAAACCGGTGCCAACTCTGGACCACACGTCTTCGGCACAATTGGGGGATTCAGTCAGGCCCACTCGACTTGTGGATGTCCAGGGAGAGGAGTGCTTTGCGAACCGAGTGCTGAGTGAACTGCACTTCCGGCATGGAGCACTCACACCACGGGATGGTCGGCGGCGTACTCCCTCCCCCGTCATCGAGAGTCGAGTTAGACGCAAAGAAAGAGCCTAGAAGATCGACTTTCTCCTTTGCGGTATGGGCCAGTGAGTCGTCCTCCCTGTGCAGAGATGGAAGAGATGGCTGACAGAAATTCCCCTGGACAGCCTTGGTGAGAGACAAGAATGCACGGGTTCCAGAAGGAAGGCGAACTAGTTTCTCGCCAATTCTGCCTATGTGAACTGACTTTGCCTTGACAATGACTCTTTTGAAGGACCTAGAGGCGGAATTATACTTCTTTTTTTAGAGCGCTGGTGTTTACATCCCGGGACGCTGATGCGTCAGCCCAGGCTTGGTAGCACTCCTGCTTATAGCATGATGCTATTTTACAGGTGCGACCAAACCATGGCTGAGATTTGCCTGTAATGGGCACCACAGAGGAAGGAATAAAAAGTTCCGCATCTGAAGTACCACATCAGCGACAGAATCCGCAACAACGTTGGGATCGTCCGGCGAAAAGCAAACCCGCCCCCAAAGGTAGGATGCAAAGAAAGACCGCATCCCATCCCAATCGGCTGACCTATAGTGCCAAACACGGCGGGCAGAATGCAACCGCGATTTCAGCGTGAGTGGCACCACACTCCGGACAAGACAATGGTCCGAGGAGCCTAAAGGGGCGTCGACGGAAATCTGATATCCGTCCGGGTGAGAGGTCAGCAGAAGGTCCAACAGGGAAGGTGCATGATCCTCCACATCTGGAATCCGCGTAGGCGAAGTAACCAGTTGTGTCAGACCATATGCCAAGGCAAAATCATGAACAGATCTCCCCGCATGATCGGTTAAACGTGAACCGAGCGATTCGGCGTGATGGGCGTTAAAGTCGCCGAGGATCACGATCTCTGCGGAGGGGATCTGCTGTAGCAACGAATCTGCAGCCATTTGGACGTGGTCGAAGAGTCGGTCTGTTTCGGCATTACCGCTATGGGACCTATAGAGGCACCCGTAGACGCGCGGATGGTTGTCGCTGTCTACGCGTAGCCAAAGGATGGACAGGTCCGAACCTTCAAGTCAGCCGAGGCGTCGAGAACAGATGTCCTCTCTGACGTAAACGCAAACTCCAGCCCGAGGCACAAAGGAGTGTTCCAGTTTGTACCCCGGGTAGGAGAGATACGAGACATCAGCCGGAGAGGACACCTGCGTCTCGGTCAGAAAGAGCAGAGCCGGTCTCGCCGTCTCGAGATGGTAGTGGATGGCGTTCAGGTTTGAGTGAAGTCCCCTGATATTGCAGAAATTCACGGACAGCGTGGAAGGGGTCGCCTTGGTCTTGTTGCTCCATTTGCCCCGAGCAGTTGCAGTCTTGAGCGGAATTTTCCCCCCCCCCCCCCAGAATACGCGGGGCAGCCTGAGCACCCACGCTCAGAAGTGTAGAAACATGGTCGTGGATGCTCAGCGAGAGATTCTCCAGGGCTGCTGGTACCCTCCTGGGGTAGTCTATCATTTAATTCCATGTTGATGTGGGGGGGGGGGGGATTTGGGCCTCCGGCCACCTGCACTCACCAGACGAAACGCGGAAGCAGAGCTTCCACTTCACGCCGGTATTCTGTGAGGTCGTGGTACCACCCCGGTTTGAGCCGGCCCATACGTGCAACAGCAAAGCTGCCGCGTGGCTCTACCACTGTTAAATTTTAATTAATTGTTACCAATGTCATAATATCGGGTCTCCTGCCGTCTTCGTCTCTAAAAATTTCACAAGGCTCGAAAACCGAGAGAACATGTGGACAATATCGCTTGTGATGACATCGTTTAAAGAACCGTGCAGTGAAAACCTACCAGCACTTTTCTTACTGATAGTCCGTAGAGCCCAAACTCGTCAACGCTGCTACCAAAGTGGCTGATAAGGTTGGCAAATTTTTGGCGGTGCGCAAGCTTTCACCATCTAGCAATGTGCCGAGATTACTTGATGGTAAAGCGTGTAACCAGTGGCTAGATTCTTTAATCGAAACAGCTAGAAGGCCGGTCTGTGCGTGGTCACTGTGGAGATGAAACAAATCTTTCTGCACAATTCGTACCATCGGAATATCCCACTTTTCTTTGGTTAACAGTGGAACATTGTCGCCGGGACAGAGCGTTTGCCATGTCTGCCCTGCCTCCGCAGCAAAACACAGGTCTACTTTATTGTTTAAAATTATGTTACATAACTCACTGACACTATGCACGGAAGCAAGGAAAGCAGGTAATGCAACACTAGAAAGACTTCTCACACCAACACCACGGATTTTTTTAGGTAAAGCAGCTTGAGTCCAAGCTGTTGTATTTAATGTTAAACTTAGAATTTTTCTATAGCTATTTTAAGATTATTATCAATATCTTTTAAAATATCCGAACATTTCTAGACTGGACTCGAGCGGAGTATGTAAATCAAGGTACAAAAAACAGTGTTTTAAAATAGTAAGAGCAATGTAGGAGTTTGAGATGTACAATTTATGACCACGTTGTAAATTTAAAGACTGATCAAATTTTGTTTTTGAAACAGGTTTATAAATTTTAACTATCGAAAAAGTGCACCTAGCAAATATGACAGAGATTTTTAATTAAAGTGTTTCTTTTAGACAGGGGCGGATCTATATGTAGGCTTTTTGGGCTGCAGCTCAAGGCCCCGTGGATATAAAGGGCCCCCAGATCCCAGAGAAGACAATAGCTGTCAAAGGTCATGAGTTTTAGTTAAAATAAAGATAAGAGAGTTAATTTTCGAAAATAGGCACGAAATTTATTAAAAATGGTGGCTTAACTCGATATTATTTTTGAAAGAAATTTCAGAGAGGATATTTGTGAAGGCATTATGTCATTAAAAGAGTTCGTGAGTAACATACGACAAAAATCGGATCAAAATTTAAAGATATATACGAGGAGAAAGCCAAAAACTTAAATAAGAGGTGGGCCGTTTAAAATTTGTTATAGAATTTGTACCTATTTGTGTTGTGATATTAAGGCAACTAAGCCTATTAATTTTCATGTAAGTTTTATATTTTTAGAACTTGGGATTAATTAATAATATCAATAAAAAGATTTTATTAAATAAACGTAATATAAGCATAAACTTAACGCAATGAGGGCTACCGTTTTTGTGCTTACCAGTTGACGCCACTGTCGAGTAAGGTCCTGAAGTATAGCTGCTGTTAGCGCGGTCGTGAAAAGAAAGTTTACATTTAAATCATATTTAATACCTTAACACCGTATAAATACAGAGTATGCCTTAATGTTGCGGGACTGCGCTTTTGTTCTTTTGTTCAGAAAAAAAGGAGGACATGTTTCCGAAGGATAAAACTGTTACAAAGCAGTGGTTAATAGCGCTTCGCAGGGACAACTATACCCCTTCAAAACATTCGCACGTTTGTAAAAAACAATCGTCAGAGTTGACCTGACGATTATGAGTTACCGTCAACTAAGGCATCTTTACCTTCCTTTGTCATCTTTACCTAGTACTGACAAGTAATAAGAAAAATCATTTTTATCAGAAACTACTAATGGTAGATATTTCATAGACACATTAGTTGTTTCGTAATGAGCCAATAGTCACACAATTTTTTTAAATACTGGCAGCACTGTCAAATGACAAGTTATAAACGTTTGTTGATACTCACGGGACACTTGTCGCAGCAGACTCTGGTCGAAATTTTAATTGTGCTTGTGAATTCACTTAGCTGAGGTAAGTAGAATTGATACATATTATATACTCGTATAACCTTCCTAAGAAGACGCAGAATGCTAATTCCTTAACAATTTTAAGAGAAATTTGCATATAATGGTAATTTCTTAACAATTTTAAGAGAAATTTGCATAGGTAGTGATAGTTGAGGCTAGGTAAAGTTGCTACAGTTTGTACAGTGGCGTCTTTACCTGTAGCTAGGGTTGTCACTATACTTTACCGGTCTCTATACTTAAATGTTTTACTTTTAGGAGGGCTTACAAGCTGATCAAAACTTACATAACACTATTAATACACTTATTCTAATAATAATAACAATGCAATTGTTTATACTTATCATTTCCATTTATATATTTATACAGCCCAACCAGATGAGAAAACTATTAAAATACTTAAATAATAAAAAAATTGAAAAAAGATGTCAAAAGGAAGAGTATAAGAACCAAAAACCTCTAACATAATTCTTCGGAATCGGACTCTGACTGCTCTGTACAGTATGCAGATTCTTCGGATTACAATTCAATTGAAGACATGCAGGATTACTTATTGAGATAACTGATAGAAGATCAGAAAATGGATGAAAAGGAAAAAGGTGAACAAATGGCCTATTTGGAAACGAAAGGACATGAGACAGAAAGATTGAGAACGGAAAGTGATGTATGGATAGAAAACGAGATGTTAAATGACAAGGCGAAAGAAGAATTTGGAAAACAGGAAATGCAGGAACAAATTAAAGAATTGGAAAAAAGAGTACGAGATAAAAAACATGAGAATAGAAAGTGATAATAGGCGAGTACAAGAGATGGTATATGAATATGACTTGGGGAAAATCGAATGTGAAATACAGGATACAGAGGAACAAATGAAGGAATTGGAAACAAAAGGACACGAGGAAGAAAACTTAAGGATAGAAAGTGATGAAAGGAACGGACAGAATGTGGAAAAACAGATGGTAAATGAATATGAAATGGAGAGAGGCTTATGGGAAGACCAGGAAACAGTGAAACAAATAAAAAACTGGAAACGAAAGAACACAAAATAGAGAAGCAGGAAAGAAAACAACAGATAGAAAGCCTAATAATAGAAAACGATGAAAAAAAAAGACTGAAGATAAAACGACCTAGACTAGAAGAGACTATGTCAGAAGAAGGGACTAAAAATGAACAAAATGAGAAGGCAAATAAAGCCGAAAGTTTATATATGGAAGGACAATACATCTTAGTAAAGTTTCAAAGTACCAAAAATACGTATAAGTATTACTGCGGCCTGATTACGAAAATATCCGAGTGTGAAGGTATTTTCCTGGTTTCCTGGTGGGTTTTACTGGTCCACAGTACCCGATACAAGTATTGTATTCGAAAATGATATACTTAGTGCAAATTTTACCCAACCCCTATAAAAGCCGGCGTGGAATTTTATATTTTGATGTCAAATTTAAATATAAATTGGAATAATACTTTTAGTTTTATTTTCAATACACTATGGCTGAATCTATTAGTATAAGTATGATAAATATGTGACAACTAGTACTTTAAATACATTATATACTTTAAAATTTTTATCGCATGGTATTTACATAACACTCCATGCGACTATCTGACTTGCATTTAATCAATGTTTTTATAGCCGTACATTTTAACTTCATTTTTAAACAAGTGGCAGCCCTGATAATAAATTACATTTGCATGAGCATTTCAATAGAGTCCATGCCATCTTTACCTATCAGCCTGTATTGCTCGTATATATATTTTTTATTTAAAGTACCAATATGTCTAAACAGAGAGAATTGGAAAAAAAGAGTACGAGAGAGTTTTTTATCTCGTATTCTTTTTTCCAATTCTTTAATTTGTTCGTGTATTTCCTGTTTTCCAAATTCTTCTTTCTCCTTGTCATTTAACATCTCGTTTTCTATCCATACATCACTTTCCGTTCTCAATCTATCTGTCTCATGTCCTTTCGTTTCCAAATAGGCCATTTGTTCACCTTTTTCCTTTTCATCCATTTTCTGATCTTCTATCAATTTTCTCAATAAGTAATCCTGCATGTCTTCAATTGAATTGTAATCCGAAGAATCTGCATACTGTACAGAGCAGTCAGAGTGCAGCCTCGTACGGTACAGTACGGTACGGTAGGTGTAGTGTAGGGCGACCCCCCAACAAGATGGAGTGACGACCTGGTGAGACATGTAGGAAGTTGATGGATGCAGGTGGCTCAGGACCGTGCTTTGTGGCATTACTTGGGGGAGGCCTATGTTCAGCAGTGGACTTGTGAAGGGCTGTAATGATGATGATGATGATGATGATGAACTTGATATTTTTCCATAAGGTAAGTGTGTAAGCGAACTGTGTGTTAACTACAAAACTCGGGTTTTTAAGCTATTGCATAGCTTCTATCGTGGGCCTTGAGCGGGGGACCGAATCCAGAAATTCATTCCGTAACGAAAAAACCTCACGCTCCCCACTCCGACGGGCACGGAGGTGTGGCTTGAAGGCCGTGCATCGTCTAACGTCGTTTCAGTTCAATCGGCAGACTTCGGCACTCGGCAGACTTCGTCACGGTGTTTGTGTACGTGCGACTAGACGTATGCGTGTACACTAGCTGCTAACTCAATGATAAAAATTCCTGAATAACCTACATGTATTGTAAGATATTAAAAATATTTTAAACAATATTAACTTTTCATTTATTCAATAATTATTTATGTAATCTAAGTATCCTGTTTACTCCAAAGAATACAGTTTTAATTTTTTTTATTGGATAGATTGGCAAACGAGCACACAGTCCACCTGATGGTAAGTGGTTGCTGCAGCCCATAGACATCTACATCTATCCTCTATTACAAATCAAAATGCAGATGCGTTGTCACCCGTGAGGACTAAGATGGAATGCCTCATTTCCAGTAAAAAGGGTCTTCGGTTCTCTACACTCACCATACGAAACACAGCAGCATTAAGACACTATTTCACACTGGTATTATGTGAGAGCGTGTTCCTTCCTCGGTCGAGCCTGCCCATTAGTGCTACAACTATACTACTAATATAACTGCAGCATGGATCTAACCATGTATAAACTATATACACTTAACTACTCAAAATAGTCTCATATTTTGCTTGTAAGTGGACGAGACATTGTTATACTTAATAAGTTTAATTAGTTCTACATAATGTCAAACATCAAACGTGAACTAATTTCTTTAAAAAATGTACAACAAGTTATATATAATTATATATCAATTGGATTTAGCCAGCGAGAAAATGAAATCATGTCGTGTTTACGCCATCTAGCGTACTTTTAGCATACCACCTTGAAAGTTAATCAATGTTTGTTCGATAAAATCATTTTACGTATAAAATGCAGTAGATGGCGATATAACAAATTATTATTTTACTTGTGTACTCCAAAGAATACAGTTTTAATTTATTACACTTAAATTCTCAAAATACTCCCATATTATTCTTGTAAGCGGACAAGACATTGTTATACTTAATAGGTATAATTAGTTCTACACAATGTCCAACACTAAATTTGAACTAATTTCTTTAAAAAATGTACAGTACCTACCTAATATCTAAGTATCTAAGTAATATTTTATGTTACATTACTTTTTATACACAAAAACAGTTCAAACTTAAAAAACTATCATAAAACTAATAAAATTATATTTATGTAAACTAAGTATCCATAAAATCTCATAATATAAGAAGTGACATATAAGTCTATATCAATAGGATATAAATGCCTATATCCATAAATGTGTATTATGCCATCCTTAAAATCCGATAACATAACAAGTTACATACAAGTATATATCAATAGGATTTAGCCTGCGAGAAAATGAAATCGTGTCGTGTTTGCGCCATCTAGCGTATTTTGTGCGTACCACCTTGAAAGTTAATCAATGTTTGTTCGATAAAATCGTTTTACGTATAAAATGCAGTAGATGGCGCTATAACAAAACATTATTATACTTGTTTACTCCAAAGAATACAGTTTTAATTTATTACACTTAACTTCTCAAAATATTACCATATTATGCTTATAAGCGGACCAGAATTTGTTGTACTTAATAAGTTTAAGTAGTTCTACATAATGTCAAACATTAAACGTGAACTAATTTCTTTAAAAATGTACAAGTTATATAGAATTATATATCAATTGAATTTAGCCACCGAGAGAATGAAATCATGTCGTATTTACGCCATCTAGCGTATTTTTGCATACCACCTTGAAAGTTAATCAATGTTTGTTCGATAAAATCATTTTACGTATAAAATGCAGTAGATGGAGATATAATGAATTATTATTTTACTGTTTACTTCAAAGAATACAGTTTTAATTTTATTACAATTAACTTCTCAAAATAGTCTTATATTATGCTTGAAAGTGTACGAGACATTGTTATACTTAATAGGTTTAATTAGTTCTACACAATGTCCATTCTGTACTATTTCACGCTGGTATTTTATGCGAGCGTGGTCCTTCCTCGGTCGAGCCTGCCCATTAGCGCTACGACTATACTACTAATATAACTGGAGCATGGCTCTACCACATATAAAACTATATATACACTTAACTTCGCAAAATAGTCCTATATTATGCTTGTAATCGGACGAGACATTTTAAACTTAATAGGTTTAATTAGTTCTACACAAGGTCAAACACTAAACTTGAATTGATTTCTTTAAAAAATGTACAGTATCTACCTAATATATACGCATCTATATAATATTTTTTGTTACATTACTTTTTATACACAAAAACAGTTCAAACTTAAAAACCTATCACAAAACGAAAAAATAATTGTTTATGTAATCTAAGTATCCTCAAAATCTCATAATATAAGAAGTGATATATAAGTATATATCAATAGAATTTAGCCTGTGAGAAAATGAAATGGAACATTAAATTAAATAGTTTCCTGTTTATGCCGTCTAGCATATTTTATGCGTACTACCTTGAGAGTTAATCAATGTTTTTTCGATAAAATCATTTTACGTATAAAATGCAGTAGATGGCGCTATAACAAATTATTATTTTACTTGTTTACTCCAAAGAATACAGTTTTAATTTATTACAATTAACTTCTCAAAATATTACCATATTATGCTTGTAAGCGGACCAGACATTGTTATACTTAATAAGTTTAAGTAGTTCTACATAATGTCAAACATTAAACTTGAACTAATTTCTTTAAAAAATTTACAGTTCTTACCTAATATCTACGCATCTATATAATATTTTATGTTACCTTATATACACAAAAACAGTTCAAAATTAAAAAACTATCATAAAATGGAAAAATTATTATTTATGTAATCTAAGTACCCTTAACCCTTAACCACCTAGCGTCGGTCACAATAACTCCAGGCGATATATTTTGACGCTATTGCATAGCTTCTATCGCGGGCCTTGAGCACGGGGACCGAATCCAGAAATTCCGTAACGAAAAAAACCTCACGCTCCCCACTCCGACGGGCACGGAGGTGTGGCGTTGAAAGCCGTGCATCGTCTAACGTCGTTTCAGTTCGGCAGACTTCGGCACTCGGCAGATTTCGGCACGGTGTTTGTGTACGTGCGACTAGACGTATGCGTGTACACTAGCTGCTAACTCAATGATAAAAATTCCTGAATAACCTACATGTATTGTAAGATATTAAAAATATTTTAAACAATATTAACTTCGCATTTATTCAATAAGAGAAAAAAATGTTTTCTTATCGGTCACCACGCTCAAAAAGTGTAACTTGATTTAATATCAAAGACTTAACTGCATAAATAAAATAAATAAATAATTATAATTGCATAAGTTGATAAAAAATGCTATGCAATAGCTTTACCGCGGCAGTCACCGAGTGCCACACGTATTTTTTTTTTCAAAAAGGTCTTTTGTAGGAGTTAATATGATTAATGTAGTCTATAAAAAACAAATTTGATTTTGATGCAGCATGGTACGGGATTTCATACATCTATGAGCATTCTAACCTTAAGAAACAATAAATGATTTAGTGAGATGTTTATCTTGCGTCGCCAACAAATATACTCTTTGGTTATAGAACAAATGAAAACACATTTCTAATTAATTTATTTCATTAATACATATTACCAGTTTTAAATTATATAAATATTAAATTTTACAATAATTTGTCGTCTTTTCTATAGGATTATGAAGTTGTGTCAGTAAGGCCCGTCACCTGCGCCGCTAGATGCAGTGTCGGCTGGTATAACCGAGATTCTTGGCTTGAATCCATCTTCATCAGCCTCGTACTCTACCACCTGGAAAAAACAGAATACATGGCATAAAAATATATTAATTTTACCACGTTTTCATTACGTCACTTTCTAGTTTTTCTGCCGTTCCGGGTCAATCTTGCAAATTAAATTTCGAACAATTCCCGATGGGCTAGGGACTTGAAATTTTGATCATAGCTCAGAATCCGAAATTGTAGGTGAAAAACGTGGTATATTAATTTTTTAGGACAAAGTTTAAAAACATATACTTGTTTGTACACTTTCGTTTGTTGACAAATTATAGCAACTAGCTACTGTAGTCCATGGATAAAAAGTAAGAGATCAAAAACAGAAACAGAAACTTTTTTATTCAATATAGATTATAAATAATACTTATTGAAAGTCACTTTTTTAATTTACCACTGATTCGGAAAAAAACCTCTGTCCTGGGAAGAACCAGCAAAAAACCCAGCGGGATTTTTTTAAATAACAGCTTGCAGTCATGTATGTTACAACTAACAACTCAATAAATTAGAAAGAGCTCGGTAGCGATCACTCTACCCAGGGGATACTATCATCCCTATCTGAAGGGTACAAGAGGTGTAGAGAAATCTAGAAGAAACACAGTATAATAACAGGCCATGAGGTATTCCACCTTAGTCCTCATTGATGCCAATTCTTTATTTATGTTTGTTGCGGGTGAACATCTGATTGCTGCCACTTTCCATCAGGTGGACTGTAAGTTTGATTTTCAATCAATCTTTTTATAGAATAATGGTGACAAACGAGCACACGTTCCACCTGATGGCAAGTGGG